TAGATTATCTTGAAAGACGTTGCTAGTGCTTGTGTGTTTTGACTCAATGTGACAAGATGGACTCAGTGGGACAAGATGCCTCGTTAATACAGTTTACCTGTTATAATTTTCTCTTCAATTCATATTGGTGTAGATTGTCAGTACTTCCTGGTGTAGCATTCTCCAACCATCACCGGCTTGTGTGCAACTCATTTGAATAAGTGGCTTGTTGAGGGCAATGTTGTTGTTTGCTCTCCTTGCTGGCCTTGATTTTTAACTGCTTGATTTCAACAGCTGAACAGCAGCAGTCACTAATTTTTATTTTAAAACTGTTCTTCTCACTGGCTTCTGGTTGTACTACAGGAAGGGTTTCAACTCTAGCAAAAATCCTTCTGATTAAAATAAATATAACTACATAGTGATTTTGTTAATATTATAAAGATTCATTTAGTATCTAGAAGTCAAAACCATGCCAGTGATGACTCTGAAATTTTCCTATCCTTTTTACCTCCCTCTTAGGGTCTCTGGAGCTGGATACACCATCACAGCCTGTGAATAACCATCACGCCCATTCTCACACTCCAGTAGAGAGTAAGTATTTGAGACTTAAAAACGTGTCCACTTTTTATGTTTCCTTATTTTTTGTTGAGTAGTATTAGGCAAAAAAATGTTCAGAACTTTTTTCTTTTTCTCCAAACACTGGGGGGGAAGAAGGCATAATGCAATGATAATAATGTCTATTCAGAAGAAGTGCAAGAATGAAATAATAAGGTTTTGCTGGTGGGAATTAGTTCGAAGTGCTGTTTTGTTATCTCTAGTTACAGTTTGACTTTCAAGCTGAAAAGGTTTTTGCATTTAAGTTCCTTCATTTGTTTCGTTTAGAAAGGAAACACAATCCATCTTCTCACCACAGTACAACAGATCATGTTCCTGAAAAGAAGTTTAAATCTGAAGCTCTTCTATCTACCCTGACTTCAGATGCTTCTAAAGAAAATACACCAGGTAATCTTAATTGTCTTGCATTTTATTGCTTTTTTAATTGGAAGAAGAGAAACCCAATTATATTTGTGAGTTACTGTCTTTTGAAATCAGAGGCTCATACCCTTTCCTCTGGGATTTTCAGTCACTTGAAACATGAGAAATTGCAGGCATTGTTACTCATCTGTGTTGTCCATGAAGCGCATCGGCTTTGTTGTCATTTAACAGCTGCATGTTGGCTGTTTCTTTTTATTTACACTGCTTGGAAGAAGATAACAGTACAGTTTCATTCAGCCAGTAGTAGAAATATGAGAGATCAATGCAATATTATTTTGGGAAAAAGAAACGCATGCAACAATTACCAAAGTAAGGGAAAAGAATTTGCACGCTTTTTGTTTTAAGGGGTGGTCTGATGTGGCATTCAGTTACAATGAAATAAAATTCTTTCATGTGTTGTCTATTTCAAAAGAGGTGAGAAGTTTTTTTTGAGTAGTGAATAAAAAAAAAACCCACAACTTTCTGCCCATTTTCAAAATTGGGGTGTTTCATGAGTTTCTTTTCTGAAAATAAAAGATTGTGAGAGGTTATAGTAAGTAAACTACCTTACGTTTTGGAATTTAGTGCTGTTCATCAATTTTAAGTAGTCTCCCTCATACCCATTTTACTTTTCTTTTGAAGGAACTTCACAGGAAGTGGCAAGTAAAATGTAACTATGTTTGAGCAGCTGTCAGTCTGTAGATGTCCATGGAAATCTGTGTTGCATTAAAACTGTGATTTGTGGTTTTTAGAATTAAGGTTGTTAAAAGTTTTACTTCAGAAACAGTATAGGTGTACAGTCAAATTCTTACTCTCTTGATGGTTACAGTAGTCAGCATAATTTCAGTGGAGATTGGGTTTATATAGACATAGCAGCTGCATCTGTTCTTTGATAGCTGAATATGATAGTGAGGACTGCCTTTCTAAAAGGATTCCTTGCACATGAGGATAGGTGGAGAACGAACTTCTTTTTTTCTTAAGCCAATACTGGCTCTCTCAAATGACTTTTTAAACTTTTTTCCAAATGATCAGACTGCTCTGATGCCTAAACGGAGTTCCTACTCTTTCACTGGTTGTCATATATAACTCTTCTTAAAATGCAAAGGAATTTAGTTTCATTTTGAATTTCATAAATGTGTTCTGTTCATCAAGGGTGTCGAAACAGTAATTCATCATCCTCTTCAAACAATGCATACAATACAAACTCTTCTCAACCATTGGCATCATATAACCTGGGCTCATTATCTTCAGGATCCGGGGCCGGTGCAATTACCATGGCAGCAGCTCAAGCAGTGCAAGCCACAGCGCAGGTAATGTCAAAACATTCTTGCCATTCTGCCATCCACTATTGCTTAAGAAGAAAGACTAGTGATTTTTTTTTTTTTTTTAATCTGAATTCCCATGTTCACGTTCAGCTGACGTGATTGTTCTCGTATTATCATTCTCATTTATATGCTACAGTTTCATCCTGTAAAACTTGTATAAAGGAACAGCTTGTTTTCTAGTTTTCATGTGGGATATTCTTACACCTTTTTACCACTTACTCTACATCATTTTGTTAACAGGGTAACTAATGAACCTGTGCAAATAATTAGCAGTTAGCAGCCTAGTATGTCTTCTGTAAGAGCTCTACTGTGTAATCTGATACAATACCAGTATTCCTTTTAGATGAAGGAAGGAAGACGAACATCCAGTCTAAAAGCCAGCTATGAAGCATTTAAGAACAATGATTTTCAGCTTGGAAGAGAATTTTCATTATCCAGAGATTCAACTGGATATTCATCATCAGCTCTGGCATCTACATTAACACAGACATTAAGTTCATCAACCACAGATTCACGAAGTGGCAGAAAAAGCAAGTAGGTTTTCTTACTTGTTGACTGCAATTATAGCTTTTAAGACAGCTAAGCTTTCTTTTAAAGGTCATGGGCCATATTAGAAATACTTCATATTTAATATCTAGGAGGGGGGATCAGCAGAAGGTAGTTATTGCCTGCTGGCCTTTTTTTGTTCAGGGCTTTCTTCTTTTCTCGTCTCACTGTTTTTTTCCTTGAAGCAAACTCACTCCAAGGTTTTAAATAAATGTCTTGATTTGCTTTTTCATCTGTGATATAGTCTAGTTTCTTCCCTCATTTTTCTGTGTTCTGGAGGGAAGATTTGGCTTAACGGCAAATGTTGGGAATTACTATGCTTTTGTAGATGGTTTTGAAATAATCTGGAGATCTGCTTCATGCCACTTCACAAATAATCACAACGCTTTCTGATGGCTGGTCTTCTAGGACAGGAAACAGAATGAATTTTATTTCTGATTAAAATGACATTTAAAAACATCCTAAACAACACAGTGTCATGACACATTGTGACAGCAATCACAAGTTTTACTTGAAAAGGGTTTGTCTCAGAATGCCCGTCCTTTTAAACTGATGTACGTGGCTTTCTTCATATAAATTTGTGTTTGTTCACAGCTCTGTTAATAATTTTATCTTAGAAGCATTTTTCATCTATGGATATCTTGGGTGTCAGATCTGACCTATAAGCAAAAGCATAGAATTTGTATTCTAGCACTGTTCCTGTGGAGTGATTGGTGATGCTTGAGTGGAGATTAACAGAATCAGTCATCTTCAAAACACAGCTCTCTCTTCTACATGACGTATGACATTATTTATATGCAAATCCCTGTTTTATTGGTAACATAATTTTTATGGGGACTTTACACCAAGGCTGTTGATGGAAAATTTTGTGAAGAAAAACATTGATTAAAGCCATTTGGCAGTTTAAAGCTGTTAAATTCCATTTATTAGAATAGCTTGCCTTGCTATTGGTAAGCTGGTAAGACTTGTTTCCTTTTCCAAAGAGCATTCAATGTGTCCATTTCGGTTCTTGCAATTGTTGAATGATGTTTTGGGATTTACATACTGCGGTATTTCAGAGCGGAAAAAAGTACTTGTTTTGTGACCCTTTCACTTGGCAGGAAATGAATGTAAATTATGATACGCCTTTTTTTTTTTTTTTTTAAGAAACAACAACAAATCCTCAAGTCAGCAGTCTTCATCCTCTTCCTCTTCTTCGTCTCTGTCATCATGTTCTTCTTCATCTGCACTGGCACAAGAACTGTCCCAGCAAACAGCAGTAATACCAGAGTCTGATTCTAATAGCCAGGTTGACTGGACCTATGATCCAAATGAGCCACGTTACTGCATTTGTAATCAGGTAAGGATGGCTTCCAACCTGAAATATAACTAGAGCTGCTATTTTGCTGTAGTTGAACTCCTTTCTCTGATTGCTCATTTAAAAGCATTCTATTTGCAGTCTTGAAATTTTGATCTGTTTTTATTTACTTACTGGTGATATGAATAATGAACTCAACTGCTGAAGCTAAAAACAAGCAAGTTTTCCAGTGATGTGACGTACCTGCAGAGTTTTAAATCTTTTAATGAAGACTTCAGGAATAATTAAATTAAAAACTGAACAGGTTCACAATGAATTTAGTTAAAATTTTAAGTTAGTAAGGAATTTGCCTGGTCTCTCCTACTTTCCTTTAAAAGAAAAAACTAACCCCCCACAAAAACAAAACTGAAAAAACCCAACACAAAAAACTAGTTTTCTTAAAGCTATCTGGAAACTTGAGAGACTGAATGACAACATGAGAAACTTTTGTTTAAAAATACTTGTTCTTATTTTAAACATTTTTAAGAGTGTTGGCTTTTTTTGGAGTTTATAGAATTCTGTAATTCTCTTGAAAGTATTGGATTGTTTCAAATAAAGCGCTTGAAATTGTCATGTATGCAAGGGAAATGCCAGGCATCAATATAATCCTGAAAACTGGGCTGGTAATATACTGAGCACTGTTGTTTAGACCAAGATGTGCTTCGTTCAGGTTCTGAATGCTGACCTTTCTCATCCAACCTGAAGTATGCAGAAGTATCTTTTTTTTTTGCATAAAAAATTTTTGAAAATCAACTTGCTGTGAACATGTTCTTTGGGTTGTGCAAAAGAAAAATCAAAATATCGTTGCTGCTGTTAATGGAAAAATTCCTCAGAGGAAGAAACTTGAACTTTAGCCCTTTGAAAATGTTGATTGCTTTTAATTAGTAGAATAATTATTAATAAGGGTTTGTTTTTTTAATTTACTAGGTGTCCTACGGTGAAATGGTAGGCTGTGATAACCAAGATGTAAGTAACAAAGTTCAAAAGGTTCATGAGATGCTTGTGCATGTAACTCTTGCTTGCAGGAGTTACTTTTCTTTAGAGTTGTTTTTAGAGTATTTTAGAGCAACGTGCATATGAGTTGAACCATTCTTCAGGAAACTTTGTCCTCATCTGTCCCCACAGTCAGGTTCTTTTAGAAGGCTTCACTCTTTACTGGGAAGGTTTGATATCTTTGAAATGCCCTTTATTTCTGGGAACTTTTAGCCTATGTCACTACTAGTATCAGTTGTCCCCTTCAAATAAAAAAAATTTTAAAAGAACAGTTGAATGTCATCATGTACTTACTGAGATACTACATTTAAACAGAAGTGAGTGATAAGATTACTTTTGTGTCACTTAGTGTTGTCAAACTAAGTATTTGGAAGCACAACATACTACTTTTGCTCTGTTATGTGAGTCCAAATATGACACCTAGAATTTTTATCACTTTCCTTAGTCTATTGGGTGTATGTTAGGGACTGAGATCCTCCTCTCTTCTTATTTTGTCCCCTGAGTTTGTGTGAAACGCAGAATCTATGCTTTTTACTCATGCTTCATTTTCATAGAATTGTATTTGTGATAGGTGTTTTGAAAAAAACCAAAATCCCAAACCCTCTCTTTAACTCTGGTTTTTATAGTGCCCTATTGAGTGGTTCCACTATGGATGTGTTGGACTGACAGAAGCACCGAAAGGTAAATGGTACTGTCCACAGTGTACGGCTGCAATGAAGAGAAGAGGCAGTAGACATAAATAAGTTTCTTCATCTGGAAAACAAATTACATACTAAAGGTTTTATAGAGGACTTGGGAGAGGGAGGAACCCCCACCACACTTCCTTGCAACCACTTAAGGGTTAACATAGCAGTCATAAATCTTGAACTATTGATTTTGCTAGTCGTGTTTTAATATTGTAAGTAAATTATTTATGCACATTGATGTGCTACAGATACTATTCCAGTGAGCCTTGGATTGTTCCAGTGGCCAACATATGCAGACATTTGTACTATCAAACCATTTTCTCTAAGCAGTGGGCATTCTACAATTACTCAATCTTCAAAAAATTCCGATAAGTCAAGATTTTAAATGTATGTTTTATATTCAACAGATATATTCTGCTGCATGTACTGTACTCCAGAGCTGTTATGTAACACTATGTATATAAATGGTGCAAAAAGTCAGTGCTTCTGAAAAAAAAAAAAAAAAAAGAGACAATGGTTTTTAAAATGCCTTTATAGCTTTGGTTCTTTATGAAACTTAATTCAGCAGGCTGAAGAAAATGGTTCTTGTATACAGCGGGCTGTTGTCCTCTAGGGTACTTGAGTATGTAAAAACAAAAAAAATGCTGTAGAATAAAACAAACTTGTGCCATTAGTCTTTATATGTTTCTGCTCCGGAGAAGGCGCAGGCCATAAGAGGAAAAAAAGGTGTTAAAGTGATGATAAATTTTTATACCAAATGTGTTTATTTTTTTGTGCAAGTAATCCTTTAAATTTGAATTGTATTAGGTGTTAAAATAAAACAACCTCAACTCCGCAGATTAATGTTTTCTGTACATTTGTCAAAAAAAGGTTCATCCCTGAAATGGTTTCAGAAGAGTGTAGCTAAGTTTGCGTAAGAAATTGCTGTACATGACCCATGTGAAGGATCGTTGTGCAGGAGGACATTTCTCTGGTGGGTGGATAACTAATACATACAGAGGCAAATGCCGAAATATCATTTGCCTTGATGTCTCTGTTTCCAGACCGATCAGTGGCACCTGCTTAAATGGGCACGAAAGTTCTGTTTTCCATGTGGTTAAGAAAAAAAAGTCCCTAGGATGTATCCACAGGCAGGATTGCCTTCCTATTTGCATGGCATGGATGGAAATAGGAAGGGGAGAAGAAAACCGTGGTAAGTGTGTCTTGCAGCTGCCATACTCCTTCCTGGACAGTGGTTTTCAGGTGAAAACCAACACGTGGTTCAGGAAAGAAGCAAGGGAGAAACCGTTCATCCTGCTGTAGAATCCCTAGGGTAGCAGGGAGGATCATGTTAGGAAGCCTAAATGCAGGCCCGTAAGTGGTTGGGCCTGTGAGCTGTACATGTAGTAGCACAGGATCAGAAAACTGATCTTTAAATTAGACCCTTGATCGTGAATATAATGGAAAGATTTTCTGTATTTTTTTCCCCACTTGCTTATTTTGGACATAGTTTGTAGATTTCCTTTCACTGACAATTTCCTTTTGTTGTTTCTGTAAGGCTCCTTTCGTGCAGCAGCACCGAACAGAAACGAGATTATTACTCCCTTTTTCTTCTTCCTCCTTCCTTCTACTGCTAAAAAAATACAGTTTCCCTTTGGAATGAAGATTTTCCTTTAGCACTGGGTTGCTCCTTGGGCTGTCAGGCTGGAAGATCATGACCATGGTAGCTTTCCAAACCCACGCAGAGGAGGAGAGAAGAGGGAGAGAAGCAGTGTTTCAACGCATGACTATGCAAACAGTGTCAAGGAAATACAAAGAGTTAGGTTCATTAGTGATAGGAGTATGTGCAGAAAATGCAGGCTTTAGCTAAATGAAAATGAAACCAGGCTTCTGTCACAACATTTATTTAAAAATGAAAAAAGCAGGTGTTTTAAATTCATAAACTGGGTAAAAGTAGATGCATAAGAAGGAAAATGTGATTATGGGTGATAAATAGACTTTGGTAAAAGACTAGAATAGAAATTGGTGAAAATAAACAGCAAAGAGCAGTGTAACTAAGGTTCCATTATAACTGGGAACTGAACCACTATGTATGTATTTCTGTAGAAATCTCAGTCTAAAAAAACACTTGAGGACTAGAATATCTGGTTTTAAGTGAGGCTGTTGAGACCAGAGAGATAACAAACTATTTGTTCTGTTGGAAACTGGTGCCATGCTATGAATTGAAGTCAAATAAGCAACAGGTAATCTAGACTCCCCTTGGACTGAATGTCTAAGTCTCTAGGGCTAAGAAGTAAGACACAGAATCATAGAATGGTTTGGGTTGGAAAGGACTTTAAAGATCATCTAATTCCACCTCCCCGCTGTAGGCAGGGACACCTTCCACTACACCAGGTTGCTCAAAGCCCCAGCCAACCTGGCCTTGAACGCTTCCAGGGATAGGGCATCACAGCTTCTCTGGGCAACCTGTTCCAGTGCCTCACCACCCTCATAGTGAAGAATTTCTTCCCTATATCTAACCTAAATCTACCCTCTTTCAGTTCAAAGCTGTTACCCTTCGTCCTATCGCTATACTCCCTGATAAAGACTCCCTCCCCATCTCTCCTGTAGGCCCCCTTCAGGTACTGGAAAGCTGCTATAAGGTCTCCCTGGAGCCTTCTCTTCTCCAGGCTGAACAACCCCAACTCTCTCAGCCTGTCTTCACAGGAGAGGTGCTCCAGCCCCCTGAT